CATTCTAATTATTCTTAAATACAAAACATAATATAACCTTAAAATCAAAATTATATTTAATACTTTAAATAACATATTATGAAGTGCATTTAGGGCACGTAATCAACATTGCTACGTACTAAAAAAAATTGTGTCAGCAGAGTTGGTTTTTTATATCTTAGCCTTTGAATCAAATCTAACATACATAGAAAAAGTTGTAATATATCATAAAATTTTTACGTGGAAAATCCAGTAAAGATAAAATTCATGTAGCCTGAGCCACTTGCACTAATCCACTATAGAATAAAAGATAAAACAATTCTCACAATTTACAGATTCTCATTGTACGTATTCAAAAATTTAGATGTACATCTGTGAACTGTTACAAATCCAACAACAATGTTAGATCTCAATAGGGGATGGAAGATTCTAGCGACGATTACTGGTAGTGGCCGTTGATAGCGATAACTAAAAAAGGTAAGAAAGTCCGTTAGTTCTCAGATGTGCATGTGTGAACCTTCAAAGACTTTTAGACATCTAGTTCATCTTTGTGTTGTATTTTTATAAAAAGATGTTAAGAAAGATGACTTCTTCCTTCTTTGAACTCCATTCAATGGATTCCTTGCTTGCTTTTAAAAATTCTATGGGCAAATCAAATTCCTACACTTTGTCAACTTGATGTGGAATGATAATTAAACAATTAGTCCCCATGGTAACTTTTGCACTTGTTCATGGAAGCTAGGTTGGATGTGGGTCATCCTTGTCTCTCTCTCTCTTTTTTTTTTTTTTAATTAAGCATCTATACTTTTCTTCTTATGTGAATTTGAGTTATTCTATTGGTGATGTTGATTAGGTATGACTAGTGTGTTAAGTTGTTGTGGGGTCTAATTTTTGTCTTATGATGAAAAAGTGTTGCATAATTTTAGGGTTTATTTGGGATGATTATGTCTATTTGTAAAAGTAATTGCAGGGTTGCTGTGCTAAAAATAGATTTTTATAAAGCTACTATGCGCATTATAAAATGATTTTTTTTTTCAAATAACTTTCTTATGAGTGCCACGTTCTAGCAAATCTCGTTGTTAAAAGCCATTTTTTTATTTTTTATTTAATAATAGGAAGGCAATAGCTATATAAACATATGATAACGGTCTTAAAAGCAAAACAATGAAAAAGTTGCCTCAAATAAGTTAACTTTTACGGCCGGTAAGGTCATTGATATAGAAAACCCCTAAAAGATATCCAATATTTACATATTATTTCATTAATGTCATTTTTTTAGAATTTATTCTATTTTTAGTAACCCGAATCGTTCTTTATAAAGAAAGGTGAAATCCTTATGTTATGATGTATAAAAATAATTAATATTGTGATTTTCCATATCAAATTATAATAAAATTTCTATTGATAGTAGCAAAATACAACCATCAAAATTGAGTAAATTAACAATTATAAATTTCTTAGTGTGTTTTTACAGTACTTTTTACACCTAAATGATTGATGGAGGGATTCACAACTCTCTTTATCATTCTGCGTTCACAATCCACTTTCTTCCATCAATGCTTTTCTTCCTAGTGAGTACTTTCAATGGTATACTATATAAATTGAGAAAAAGATCAAAATAGTCACTTAATTCTTTATGAAGGACTTAAATAGTCCTCAACTATATTAAAAAATCATTTTGATCTCTCAAATATCTAAAAAGGAATCAAAATAGTCTCACCTCTTTAAGGAATTTAGGAACCGAAATGATCATTTAATATAGTTGAAGATTAATTTGATCTTTCATAAAGAATCAACAGAGAATTTTGATCCTTTTTTCTATATAAATTATTTCCTTCATGGGGTTTGGAATTAGAGGAAGACGACCATTTGTTCATTAAATACAAGAATAGTGATTGATTTCTTGAAAAGAATTTGAAGCTTTTTGACTTCAATTCCTCAGAGCCTGATTGCTTTACCCCACAGGTCTGAATATATGACTCCATAGCCATCTTTCGAATGTATGGTGTGTACTCTTCTTTGTGACTATTTGATCTATTCAATAATATCAGTCATAGTGACAACTCTGTGTGATTTGACATTATCTCTATGTGGTTATTGACAGTGAATAGCAAAGGAAAGTAGACTGAGAATATATATATATATATATATATATAGAATCATACGTTGCCACGCTCAGCATTGTCGAGCGTGCTTAGGAGCCCCCATTGAAGGAATCATCCGTAAACCCCGGCCGAGCTACCGGGCCTCGCACACCACTGTACCCGTAGCCGGGCTTAGGAGCCTCCACTGAAGGGGCACTGGCATTCGAGGGGAATCGAATTCGGGATGGAAGATTCCCAGCCGAGCTCGCCCACCAACCAAGCTAAGCTTGAGTGGGTGGAGACTGAGAAAGTAAAACAAGCTATGGAGGCTATGGGTCTGAGCAAGAAGATCGATCAAAGGCTCTATTATTCTAACATTATTTTCTTCTCTCCGATCATAGAAGTGTTTGTTTTTTACACTCTTTAGACTTCTTTTCTTATTTCTTTGTCAGACCATATATTTGCTTGTGCTGAATTAACATTCGTTTCTACTGTTAGCTATTTCTGTTGCTTTTAAGAGTTTAATGGTGAGCTTTTTGGCTTTGAATACTATATGGAAAAGAACTATAGATTAAGGATGAACAAACTCCTAAAAACTAGAATGTTTTGAAGAGAAAAAAATTGCCCATTCACACTCTGATGTGACTCTATTCCTCCTTTAAATATATATACAATTCATCAAGAATTATGTAATTAAAAGGTACAAATTAAACTAGCTTAGTTTATTCATTTTGCATTAAAATACTTGTTCAAATTACCATTCAACTTTACTTGCATTGCTCACATCTAACATTTTCTAATCTTGTTACATCTCGACCGGTACATTAGATCATTTGCTTTAAGTTTCGTCTGAAACAACTTTCGTATTGCTTTCTTAAGCAGCTTTTAAATACAAAAATATTTTGAATTAAAATTTTTTGTATTAAAAAGCTGCTTTAGAAAATAAAAGCTTCGTTTGAAATGACTTTCTTATACCTTCTTAAAACCGCTTTATAATAAAAACTTAAAGCCGTTCCAAACAAATCCTTAGTCTAAGAACTTTCACTTTAACTTTTTTTTTTCTTTCTTCTTTTTCTCTGCGCTAATAAATTTGAATCCATCACCATACGAAGAAAAAAAAAAAGGCAGACCAACAAATTAGCTACAAATTAACACAAAGCATCAAAACAAAATAACCAAAATAATTAATTAGCCAAACAGTTCAGGCGCAGAACTCACCCACCAACCCCATCAATATTTATTTTGTCATGCATGCATGACGACATTAACCATCAAATATTATGACCCACACACCCTTAAACAATTGCCATTTTACACTTCTGACCCATCCAACATGCATGCATGCATGACCTTAATCCGTTCACCTAATCCCAGAAAATGGCAAAAAGCGAGAAATATATTTTTTTACAAATCTGTCCTGAAAATTATCATGTTAGTCCACCTACTTAGTCAGTAGGCAGGAGAAGAAGGAAGGCTATACGGTGGTGTTCCCACCTACCACTAGACGTCGACCCCCACTTCGGAGCTCGCACTGCCGACCTCTCAAGTCAAGCAATCTTAGGTAGAAATATTTGAGATTCTTAATTAGCTGTGACGCATATAAGCAGGATAGGGGACTTGGTAGTATTGATAGTGAGGTGTGTTCGATCCAGCTGCATAGAATTTTCTATCTATCCCTTGGATTCAACAACTCAGTCTAGATATAAATCTTAGGGGTTGTATAATTTGAAGTAAAAATAGGTGGAAAATATCTCAAATATAATGTTGGGTTTTGAATATATTAATATTTTGTTGGATGGAAAAAAAAAATAAATAAAGCAAATATAGTAAAAATTATTTTAGTTCATATTTTACGTAAATTAAACTTGTCCAATAACAAGTTTGCTTGATAGTCAGTACTTGCCGCAAGCCACCACCTTCGTCACCCATCATCAATCACCACCACCACCACCGCCGCCACCCACAGCCGGCTGCCACCGCCACTGCCACCTACTGTTGATCACCATCGGTCGCGGCCACCCCCACAGTTGCCGCCACCCTCTACTGACAACAACTGCTGGCAGCAGCCACCCGCCATCATTTTTGTACTTTATATATATATTCACACATTTAAACAACTTTAAAGTAATTCTTTTTCAGCCAACTAATTAGCCCTTAATAAAAAATAATAATTTTAAGTTGGCTTTTGAGCTATTGAATTTTAAAATTAAATTTTGTGTAGATTATAAATAATTATCCTCTTCTCATCTACTCTAGTCAAAGTAACAATTTTCTCAAGGGTTTTTTAATTTGTTAAAAAGTAAATATAAAATATTACAAATGCAGGGAATTGTAATGTTTGGGTGTTTGTTTTGATGACAAAGAAAAAAAAAGGCTCGTGTGTTGCAATATAAATGGACAAACGGAGCTTGTTGGAGGGATGTAAAGCATGCAATAAAATCAAATTTTTAATAAGAAGAACTGGAATGACAGAAGGGGAGCAAATTTTACCTACAGCACAAACCTTCATAATAAATTAAACCTTATTGTGCCATTGATTTCATTCTTTTAAGAATAAAATTTCTAATAAATTGCCATATTTTGACTGACATTTTAGCCTTACACTCAATAAAAAATTCTTTTTGAGGAGAAATTATTACGTGCAGAGGCTGGACGTAGCTTTATGTCCGGAGACGAATCAGGTGCAACCATATCAACGGTACAGAGCCGCAGTAGACAGGAAAGAGGTCATGTGACACATTATGATTAGTCTTCGGATGAAATTTGATGTCCGCACAGAATAATTAATCCTTTTTCAGCGGTTAAACCATTAGGTAAGTTTGAAATTTAGCCTATATGACCAGAAAATTTTATTTTTACTCCAATTGCTGCCTTTCGTCCAGTTTCTTCATTCTTTCCTCCAGATTTTCTTTTATATGTACGATTCACACTAACAAGTACAGGAAGAGGGAAAAGTGTTTCTCCTATGAAATCATTTTTCCTCTCTTTCAATCTCATTGATGATAAATATTTAAAGAAAAATACAAAATTGACTAAAAAAGAAAATAAAAGGATCTATGCTATACAATTAATTTACCCTAACGTGTATAATTAGTATGTACGCTCGACCTTATGTATGTATGTATACCGGGCTTAGAAATGCTCCTTGTGGAACTCGAATTTGGTTACGCCTCTCTGGTTGAATTCGTAGCAGAGCTTGCTAAGCTCCTGAGCCAAGACCGGCGCTCCACAATAAAACACCCCTGCTAGACCAATTATCCACTCATCAGTCCAAATTTATTATTATTTTTTTTAATTTCAGAATAAATTCAATTATTTTAAAGATTATTTTGAATAAAACAATTTTTTTTTACTGATTTATCCATTTGAATTCCATTTCAGGCTGTGGTGAAATGATGGAGAACTCACCGATCTTGGCATAAGTGTGCTTGGAGCTTATTCTGGAAAAGACTTTCTTCCAGTTTGGCCGTGCGAAGTGCGTTCGAACCTGTAAAATGGCATAGATAACTAATTTGTTTAAAGAAACATTTTAAGATTTCGTTTGATTATTATTTTTTATTACTTTAAAAAAATTATATCAAAAAGTTATTTTAGAAAGTAGTAAGAAAATGATCCCAAAAGAAGAAATTTTATTAGGTCCGGACACCGAACGGTCCGGTTTTCTCTCTGTCTACAGGAGAAGCACAGTCAAAGTGCAGTTACTACAGTTGCGCTTTGGGAAATTATTCTGTGCGAAATCCGAACGTGTTCGGAGGCGAATCCAGGCATGTCACATCACCAGGCCCAGTGCATCCGGTGACGTAGGGTATCCGGATTCGTCTCCAAATACATTCGGATTCCGCATAGAATAATCTCTCTGCGCTTTGACTGTGCTTTCACTGTGGATAGAAAGAAAACCGGACGGTTCTCTCCGTCCGATGTCCGCACCTAAGAGCATAAAATCTCATTTATCTCCAATCGAACTCCATTTTTCCGCTTTTGCAAGTAAAAGCCGTCTCTTCTTTCGCGCTGCAAGTTCGGTAGAGACATAAAAATGGCGGAGATGAACAGTAAAACTCCAATATTGGCTTTCCACTGTTCACCCACAACCAAATATCGGAAGTTTTACCGTTCGGTTAGAGCTGACGAGGGACGTCATTCAAGCGTTTGGAATTCGGTTGGAGATGCCCTAATAATTTGCCTCCCAAAAGAAGCTTAAGTTCACAAAAAAAACAGTTTGAAGATTTTACTCTGGTTCCGGAGACGACGTCTACGCCATTCTTGGCGTGGTTAAGAGCTTGGACCATTGCAATCAGTGCAGACCGAGCATCCCCATCCTCATAAACGCTAGTGAGATAATTGTGCATCTCAATCACACCCTACAAACCAGACCAAGCAAATTATAAATATTTTCAAATTAAATAGAATTGTATTTGCTTCCATTAATAATTAACTACCCTTTGATCGAGCTCTGCGACCTCATTCATGACGCCTTTGAACCAATCAAATGAACCCTGCTCGCGAGTAACCCAATAGAAATAGGCATTCGTTGTTTTCAGAGTCCATTTCGGTCTTTGAGTGGCTTTCAAGATAGTCGCCAAGTCGATGTGGACATCTGTTGGCGGGACATAGTCTGAGATGGCACTCTGCAGGGCGAGGCGAAGAGTCAAAACAATGCAGGCTTGATTACAAGCTTAGTAAGGTAGGTGAAAGAGATTACTTCTTGTTCTTCAATTTTAACGATATTGTTAAGTAAATCCTTTAGGATGCTGATGAATGGCGTTGCCCCAATCCCGAGCCCAACAAGGAGCAGCACATCATACTTCATGTAATCCTGTGCTGGAGCACCATAGGGCCCGTCTATCAACAGTTTCGGCAAGCTGAAATTGAAAAAGGATTAAACGCTTAATTTACATTCCATAACATGTACTTAAAGAGGATTAAGACTTCGTTTGAGACGGCTTTCTGACCACTTCTCAAAGCAAATTTCTAGTATAAAATTTGAAATTTTCCTACTATAAAATTGCTTCAGGAAGCAATAAGAAAGCTGTCACAAAAGAAGCCTAAAGGATAGTTTTCTTCTTACTTTTTAAAACAGCTTTTTAGTACAAAAATTTTGAAGTCAAAAAATTTTTGTACTAAAAAACAGTTTTAAAAAGAAGTTTTAAATACAGTAATGTATAAGCATGCCTCTTTCTCGTGTTCTCATCGGCTCTTAGAAGGCCACTTTTGCCTGCTACTGGAGGCTCGCATGCCTCTGAGAAGACACGTTTGAGCTCCCGAGTCCAGTCACCTAGCTGTCTAATATGAATGCTAAGGTAATCATCCCCTGGAGCTGAAGTAATTGAGAAAGGATGCCTGCACGCAACAGTTCTATTTTTTATCAATTCTTTTGTTCGAGCTTTTGCAAATTGTTGAATATACTTTAAGATGATAATCAATTAAAATTTATATTGCAGTCATCTTGAAAAAAATTGATTAAGATATTTTGATATTTAAAAAAAAAAACATAACGGTCAGAAATTTGCTTTACCATTCTAAAGGTGAAACGGCGGGGCATTGCACAAACATATACTGCCCGCTCTTGTAACGGAACCCTGGCGGTTTTGAGATTTGAAGAGCCAGAACGTTGCCAGGATAGATGGCTACCTAATTAATTTGCAAAAAAAGTGAAATTTAGGTTTGCCGTTTCTTCAAAGACATTGGAATTAGGCGTTAGGAAATCAAGAGATTATTCTGTGTGGATATTGAACACAGCTTATTGTTCAGAGACGAATCAGGCTCAGCCACGTCATCTGGTGCCGAATAGTACCAACTACAGTACCGAGCAGGAGGGGACGTGACGCATTTTCATTGGGCTCTGGATGCGTTCGACATTCACACAGAATAATTCATCCAGGAAATCATACCTTGAGTAAGCGAACAGAATAATAACCGGACCTCAAAAATCTGAGAGTTCTTTCACCCATATAGAGAAGAAGAGGAATGGAGAGATACATCCAAGTCTGCAATAAAACACCATTCAAGAAGTAGCTTCTACAAATCCATCTCAAGAATGTTACAATAGTAATAAAGAAGCAGGCTAAAAGTACATACCGTTTTGTGATACCACTTGTGGATGAAGTAGAGGCACTGGCCATGGACGATGAGCAATGCGTAAACGACGACGAAGAGATGGTGGGAGTACCAGAAAGCGTTGAAGCCGGTGAGACGGTCGAGAGGGCGAGGCAGCTTCACTAGGCTCCGACGGAACCATCGGGTGGCGAGGGTGAAGGCCACCGTCATACTCACCACCATTATGATCCCTGTCACACCTTCTACTCCTTGAATCAATTTCCCATAGGAAGGCTTTGTCTCCCCAAAATCATCACTCAAGTTTTCATGATACTCGGGCTCCGAGCTTGAGATCAGACGAGGGAAATCGCAGCTGAGATGGTTGCCGGCGTGGAGAATCACTCCGACCACAATCGCCGCAGCTATGGTCTACGCAGCCATTTATAACTACATTAAGCAGCAATTACAGATTGTTAGAGAAATACATTTGTAAGAAAAATGCAGACCTTATGGAAGTTGATATTGTCGTCGAAGGGGACGATGCGGCTGAGGCGGGTTGAACGGAGCCAGGTGATGGTGTTGCGGCAGACGGGGAGGAGGACGAGAGCCATGTTGAGCTTGAGAGTCTCGGCCGCACCTTTGGCGGTCGGGAGACAGTAGCCCATCACATGGAACGCCGAGCGGCGGCGGTACTGGATGAACTTCCAAATGAAGAGAGCCGCCATTGCAGCAAACCAGAGCGTTAGTGCATATATTCGCTTCCAGTTCTCCTCCAGGAAGTAGCCCACCTGGTTACTTAGATGCCGGATGGAGCTCCTTTTCCTGAGCCCGGCAAGGTTTTGGCTTAAGGCCTGGCTCGTGTAGCTCAGTGCCTGGCTGTAATTCTGGTATGTGTCCTTCTGAAGCAGCAGCGTTTCCAGTTGCCATAGCTGCAAGTAGTAGCAGTTTATAAGTACGTAGCCAGTGTTTGATCTCTGTTCTAGTTTTTCTGTTTTTTATACTCTGCTCTTAAATTTTTTGGGTTGATTAGTACGAGATCATTGAGAGCGCCGGCTAAATCGTAAGGTTTACTACTGATACATTTTAACGGGGTCGGTTGGTTGCGTAGTTCTTGGTTTTTTCGAAGGAATCAATAAGAGGTGGAATGTGATAAAAGGAAACAGAGGCCAAAGAAAACCTAGAAATGAAGATTTAAAAGTGTAATTTCTGATGAAGATGAGATCAAATTGCTTTAATATTAAGGATAGTTCCCCTTACAATTACTGTTTGCATTTTTTTTTTTTAATTCTGATAGTTTTCTTGGTTTTATTATGCAGATGGAGCTCAAATCTCTTCTTGTCATTTTTTCTTTTGCCCTCGAATTTTTTGATGGGCTCTGCTTCTCTGATACTGGATTGTGTTCTGATTTTTTCTTGCATTCCTGGATTTTTGGGTACGGATAATGTCTATTGTTTCAATGCTACTAACTTAAATTTGTCCACAAATACTACATACACAAAATGTATATGCTCAGAGATGTAAATGAGTAAGTTGAGCTCGAACATTAGCTCGGGCTTGGTTCACCGATGGCATGATATGCTCTAACTCGTGCCAATATATTAAACTAATAGTAAGCTAGAGCTTGACTCATGAGCTCAAATTCGAACTAAGTTACAACTAGAATTAATAGATAAGACTCATCTTTCTCCCCAAAGCTCAGATAATCCCATCTATATATGCTAAAGATTTGAACCTTAAATTTTTGAAAACCTTGATAACAAAGAAGCGAGGTAAAAAAAAAAAGAAGTGAGATAGTTGTGGTGGTAGTTATTTGGAGAAGGCATTAACGATAATAAGGCACGATGGGAGCTCAATGGAGAAGTCATCAACATCAAGGAAGCTTCATCACAAGCTCTTTGGAGAAGCCATTGTATGGCGTCCATGTTTGAAGAACAAAAAGAGTTCAAGAGGCTTATGGTCTTATGTATTTATGTTTGTTTGTCAAATATAACAAGGAATTAGCAGCAATGACCCAATATAATTGATCAGCTCAATGAGCTAATAAGCCGAGCCTCATCAAATTTGAATTTGAGCTTATATGATATAAGCAATAATTGACCTAGAGTTCAAGTTCATGGTTTGATAAACTTGACATGTTAGCTCATTAATGAGTACAAGCATGAGCCTACTTGCTAGTAGGTTTGACTCACCTACAACCCTACAGATACTATATTTGTCTTATCTGGATTTAGATAATACAATGCCTTCAACTCATTCATAGCTGTGATGAGACCAATCATTTTCTATTATTTATCATTATAATTTCTTAGCCCCATTTTGAAACTTCTACACTTTTTATGCTCTGAATTATTGCATATTCTAAGGATCATTCTGGTTCCCTATAGTCCCTCATATGTAACTCACTTTTATTAATTGAAGTCCGGGCTTGGCCATAAAAAAAATTCTCTGAAGTAATGGACAAAAATGATAAAAAAAAAAATTCTTATAAAAATGACAAAAGTGTATATTGATATTTATATTCATAATAAAACCCATTATTGATATAGACTTGTCATAAAATGTATAAATCTAAATATAAAAATGAATTAAGATATATAAAAGAACTTTTTGTAGGCTTTCCTGTAGAAAATTTCACATATGGAGTTTGGGATGGTACTATAAGAGCTTGATGTGGGCGGAATGAACTGGGGTAAGTCGTAAGTGCACAAAAAAATATGCGGACAGCTGTGCAACAACTACGCTGGATAACGATAGACATGAGATGACGAAAATGACTGAGCCTAACTAAAAAATATTCAGCGTGCTTCATTATTTAGTTCATAACTAAAAAGATGAAGGAGCTCCAATGGAAGATAAGATTAGAGAGAGCTGTCTTAGAAGATTTGGCCATATAAAACGGTGGCCTTTTAATGACCCGATTAAAAAAATAGAGGTATTAAATTTGACCCATGTTAAAAAAGATAGAGATAGACCTAAAAACTTGGTTACGAAATATTAGACATGATTTTACTTTATTAGATTTAAACGAGAATTTAATTTTTAACTAGACACAATGGAGAAAAAGGATTGGGACAAAGCGTTGAGGTTCTTGTTGTAACTAAAAAGATTAGTAAGAAGAAAAATAATAATGATAAATGTGTGCTGCAAAATATTTCTTTGTGCATGCCAGCTCATTTTATATTCTTATTTCAACAAACTTTATCGCAACGTTTAACATATTTTTAACAAAAATTCCTGCAAGTTATCTCATATCTAGTTTAATGTTTTATTTATTTTTCATTTTCAAGTTGCAGTCTTAAAGTTCTGTTTCGACAACTTGTATTTTTCTGAAGTTACACACGCGTTCGGCTTAGCTAAAACTGGAACAAGGGCGAAGGGCGCCGCATGCGGTTGGAATCATCAGTGGAAGTAATGACGAGTGATGTGGGCTCAAGGATAGGAAACATAATTGTAGGACATTTGGAGATGATTTTACAGAAGAATAATGCTTTTAGTACCCAATCTGAGCCCGCACCCAACACCACCAAGGACTCCTTACGGGACAGATTTAGTTGTCTAGCTAGCAGTATTCGTTTCTTTTAGCCGACTAAACCATTTTTCTACTCTCCCTCTCTCCTCTCTGTTTGTCCAGATATCATTATTGTCCTTCATTTTGATATTAGGCCCTATAAGTCAAGGATATTCCTTCGAATATAATTAAATATTATTAAAATTATTTATTATTAATAAATTTTAAAATGTATATCCAATATTAATAGTAGGAATATATTATACTTATTATTGTTATCATAATTATTAAGAATTTTTTATTACTCTCTTAAATATATATTTATATTTATATATATATTTAACAGGATGAGCAACTCGAACGTGAGACGACACAGGAGGCACAAATGTCCTCTCAACCGTCATGCCACAGCACAAGCCACCATATATTTTATTTCAAATATTTTTAAATTTATTTAATCACTAAACATAAATATCAAAATGTTTCAAGAACTGATTGCATAAGAAAATTAAGATCTTCAGATAATTAGAAATTAAATATATAGGTTAATGATGATAACTTACATTCTTTTGACAATTTTGAAAAGATATATTCACAAAAATAGACTTTAAAAAAAAAATTCTATAAGCCATGCGATTATTTTAGTAATTTTCATATATTTCATATATAAATGTTTAAAATATCATATAAATTGACGAAATTAAAGTCGGTAATTCACTTATATATTGCAGACAATAATTAACCACATGATAGATATAAAAATAAAATTGGAAGAATAGCTATGTGGTTGGTGTCTGTTATTCTATTTGAACTGATATCAAACCAGAACAAATAGACCTATAATATCTTTGAATAGTCCCTACCCCGTTTATATTTGTGTGGAAGCATAGCGAGCAAGAACATGCTGTTGCCTATAATATTTTAGAACATACATAGTTAGGTTATAATAAAGAAGTACTAGTTGGCTAAGTAAAATCCTTAAGAAAAAAAAAAGTACTAATTGGCTAATTAAGTGGACATTTTTTGAAATCCCTTAATTAATAGTTGGTGGCAGGTATGGGGGTATTTAATTTCTAAACTTGTAGATAAGCGCAGATTGTAAGCTTCATTCCTTGACGTCATTACTACTAATCCCGACCCATGAACTCTTCAAAAACTTCAAAAGTCAATTATACGCCACCCTTCTACTTTATATTTTTTTATTGTTTTGGCAAGAATATTGTTGTATAAGGATAACAATAACTAACAACTTTGATTTGTTCTTGAAAAATTTGCATCGAGGCCTTAAAATCAACAAGGGAGTTGACTGAAATGGGTGAAAAATTCTAATTAACTGCATACGTTACAAAAAATACATATGTTATAAAGTAAAGGCGTGGGAAGTGATTTTAACAAATTTTATTTTGAAATTTACACACATGTCACTAAATATTTATGTATTTACATATATATCTCAAATTTAAATATTTAATTGTATTTATATAACTCTTAATGTCTAAATAAAATTGAAATATATGTATGAAAAAATGCATTTTTTTTAAATAAATTCATGTCACGGTATAACGAGGGTTTTTAGATAATTGCCCTCCTTAAAAGTTTTAAAATACTATGATCTTTAGACAATTGCTCCAAATATAATTAAACACATTGCATAGAAGTGTTATTATTAGGAATGATGAACCAAATACAAAGAGACGTAGTAAAGAGTATTCAAAAATATCCTTGCAATGCCCCTGGAAAACCCTATAGAGACACTGCCCCTTGACCTCTCAACTTGACCTGACAGGTCGAACCCTGCCAAGGGGCGCTGCCCCCTTGGACCCCGACATATCTCTACACTTTTACTTATTAGTTTCATGTTATTTTTAATGTGATTTGAAAATTAATGAATTATGTAAATAAATATTAAAATTTAATATTAATTATTATATATACTTTGTGATATGTTTTCTTTTATTTTTATTTTAAAATTGAGTTTTAATGTTTTGTGATTTGTATGTAAACTTAATTATTTTTTTAGGGAATCTGATTTATTTCATTGCTTTATGCGTGGATAAAGTATAAAACAACTAATTAAACATGAATGAATATTCTACAGTTCAGATGAAATAAATGGCAAGAAATGCGATGATTAATGGATGCCACTAACCTCAATGTATCCGAGTCTTTCAGGGTCCAATTCTTCCATGATTAGGGCTGCGTATTCTTCGGCCTGCTCCTTCAGCCTTGATAACTTATTTGCTGAAGCACTTAGCATTATTAACTGAAAATAATAATAATAATAAATAAAGTAACAATTAATGCACAGATTTCAACTTACATACGTTTACGCACGTAATAATATACGTAAGAAAAATGATTAAGGTAAAATCAGCTAAAATACCCTCACCTAACCCAAGATGGGGACGGTCGTTGCCGTAGACCGGCTATGACTAAATAGTGTTTAGTTACTTGTGTTATGAAACATTGTAATTAAGGTTAACAAAAGCTTCTAGAAATCGGCTGGTGAGAGTTGTTGGTTTCCTTCTTCGCCGGTTCAGCTTACCGACTCCGGTTACAAATAAATTTTTTAAGTGATCAATGGCACATCCTACCACCCCTTTTTCTATATGCTTAAAAAATGAAAACTTGATAATATAATCCTTTTTAAAATTTTATATTTTTCCCTGCGAAGGTGACCGCTTCCAGTTTTAATTTTTTTTTAATTTGGACAATTTTAAAATTGGAAATGAAATAAATTTGTTTAATCCCACTAAGTTGCATCTTTGCAATGGGTCATTAGCTCCTAGTTAGAATAAATTATTCTGTGTGGACGTCCAACGCCATCCAGAGCCCAATGAAAATGCGACATGTCACCCCCTACTCGGTACTGTGGTTCAGTACTGAGCAGTATACCAAACTCGATACTGCTAGGTATCGATAATGGATGACGTGACTGCACCTGATTCGTCTCTAAACAGTAAGCTGTGTCTTATATTCTCACAGAATAATCTCTCCCTAGTTAGAGGGTTACAGCCGAGTATAACTTATTAGTTATTACCTCCTTGACTTCTTCCTCTGTAACACGTCCGTCTTCGTTTTTGTCCACCCTGAAGCAGAAAAGTTAAATAAATGGAATAAATTAATCAAATAACTAAGCAGATTTAATTATCGCGCTAAATTTTTTAGGAATAATTAAGCTAGCCTTTCCATTGCCCTTACATGTCGAAGAAGATCTGAAGGCGGGAATCGAAACTCTGATTAGTAATCTGCGACCAGAACTCGGAGAGCTCCTCCTTGCTGATCTTCTCTGCCTTTAATCGTTGCCGTCGACTAAGCGCATCGAACAGCTCCAATGCGAATTCCTTGGAATCCTTCATCCCTGTTTCAGTTAATTAGGAAAGAAGTATTAGTTTGTTTAAAAAAATTGCAGAAACCGTACGTGCGACTCGTTCAAGGAAAAGTAAATGGAGCAGGAACGAAATTGAATAATGCATCCTAGCCCAGCTTGCATGTGAGGAAATAATTGCTTGTGTGGAGAAGAAGAAGGAAAGAATATAATTTATGGATTGGTGTGGTCGTAATTTTTACCGATGCATTGGGCGAACTCTGAGCGGCATAGATAACCGTCTCGAGCCAGACTGTCAAACCTGCTCTGCACTTCGTTCAACGCATCGACGCCGTTAGCGGTTTTGGTGCTGATGAATCTGAGCCCTCGGAGACCTTTCTGCGCGCCGGAACGCGTCCGATCCAACTGAGCTCTCTGCTTCCTTGCCGCGCGAGCGGCGAGTGCGTTGTCGATCGCGGTCGTTGCGCCGTCGGCGGACGCTCGTCCCGCATGGCCGTGGCTCCATGAAAAGCGTTTTAGCTCTGCTCTGAGTTCCTGCGAGATCTGCCGCGCTTTGGCCATCGCCTCTGCTTTAAGCTCATGAGAGAACTGACGGAGTTTGTGGGACGAGCTCCGCCTCACCGATGGTGACTTCGACGTCCCTGATCCACAGCTCTCCGAAGAGGCATCCTGATCCAAGTGGAAGATGGCCGCCGGCAGCTGCTCTATGCTTCGTAGAACAATTGTGTCGTCCTCCTGCACATCTAGCGTCACCTCCACGAACTCCTCGGCACCATCCGTTGACGCCACGGCGAAGCTTTCAGGCGATGACACAGCGCTCAGGACTTTGTCTCCCGGCACAGAGTCCGACGCCCAACGCCGTTCGTGCGTCGCGAATCCCTTCATTTCCTCCCAATACAATACAGTATTCCGATCGCCTTAGTCGGATTTTATACCGAAGGGAATCGAGAGAGTAGAATGTAGGTAAAATCACTTCCGCATCGACTGATTCCAGAGTTTACCCACGCGCCAGTGGAATTTGCCGAAATAGACGTTAACGCGTCGATCGGTCGGTAAAAATAGACCGATCGAAAATTGACGAAAGTTGAGATTCAGTAATCAATAGGAAATATATCACCGATTTGTAGATTCTTGCTCCAGCAAGCTTTGTCCTCTTTGCTGGTATCGATATAAATGTGAAAAGCTCTCGCAGTTATGGAGAGAGAGGGAAAGATATAAGAGGCCGGAGAGAGAGAGGGAGAGAGAGAGAGGGTTGCAGGATCTAGTTGAGCAACGCGATCGGGATCGCCGGCGGGGGCGGGAGGCGTGATCGTGGGGCGGGTGATTGGGCAAGAGAATTGTGATTTGTGGCCCAATCAAAATGGGCAAAAGGGTGAGTGAGTTTCATGAAGGGGCGCATTCGTATCTTATATACATTAATAGTTCTCTTACTGTTCTGGTTAATCAAGGTTCGGTGAAATTTGTCGTTTGTTATTGTATTTATTTTTTACTAAGGAGAGATTACTACGGGCTACCTCCGGACTCTCTTATATTATACACATATTGTATATTTGTATATATTATATGTAAATGTGTATTGCATACACATTATGTATAACTATGTCCATAATGTGTGCATATATATTTACGCATATTATGTACAAATATATATTGTGTGTATATAAGGGAGTCTGGATGTAGCTCTACGTCTGATTTTCACATACGCAATAATCTCTCTTTACTAGGGTTGTTTGGTTGACTCTAAAGTGAATATAAATAATGCAGTGTAAAGTAAATATTTGAGACTTTTTATTTGCACGTAAAATGAATGTCGTGTAATTGTTATTTTTTGTTTATAGGGCATATGTAAAGTAAAATAAAATATGTCTATTCCTCTCCAAAATCTATATAGGTACACATACACACAAAAAAAAAAAAAAAAGAGTGAAGTTGAATAGCAATGAAGGGAGCTGAAGAAGCTAGTGGTCCTCACACCTGAAGCACTTAACGCCGTCAAAGGGAACATAATTGAACGTCGTCAGAACTCTACCTCACGTGAAGCATTGAAGTCTAGCAAACAAGAATGAGGAAAGAAAAGAAGATGGTTCCCACGGGTTCTCTCTCACCCAAGCAATTTCCTGTTTTGCTCGAAATGGGCGGTTTTATTTTACACGCAAAATGAACTGCAACAATAAGTCCATAATACATTAAGATCTTATTGTACCTTACACTCTCTCCAAGCAAACATCAAAAAGTGAAAAAATAATGCATTCCTTTTAGACTATTTTTTTCCCTTCAACCAAACAAACCCTAATAGAATAATATAATAACAAAAAATATCATCAAAATTTGATCACAATTTTGATCATATCACAAATGTCAAGTCAAATTTAAATTTAATATTTGTTATAACAATAATTAAATTAAATTTGAATATATTTGAAATGAATTAAATAAATATCGATTGTTACAAACTTAACATAGATTAGAAGACAAACATGATAAAACAAAAGGTCAGGACATTTGTAGTGATTTTAGTAGAGTCAATTCATAGTGAAGTTCATAAACTCATTGAGAGCAAATTCATCAGAAAAGTTCAGCATCCGAAGTGACTTTTTAATGTTATCATGATGTAGAAGTGAAATTACAAATGTACATCAACTTTCCTAATATGAACTCAGCTTACTTGGAGGATGCTTTAGGCTTTTTTTGAGATGATTTTTATTTTATTTTATTTTTTAAAGCAGTTCATTTCAAAGTTCATAATATTACAACTCAACCCGATATGATACACAGATAAATGTCATATTGTGTTGGATGGTGGCAGAATATAGGCGAAAATAGAACATATCAAGATCTTTATTTGGAGAAATAACAAACTTTTTCAAATAATAAACACCAGAGCTTCTAATTTTTACTCGTTCACAAATATTCTTTCATTCTATTTATCCACAAGAGTATACAAAATAAATTATTACTATAAACGTTCCGAACAACAGACAGACATAGGGCGGGAAATATAGAAATGTTATGACTATTTCAATATTCAAAAATAAAAATAGAAAATGTACATATATGCTTGACGTACTCAGAAAATTAGCCTCAGCTACTCAATCGGTTCTTTACCCCTACCCTGCCCTGAAACCTAAGCTCTAAAGTACAAATTGAGTTAATATAGCTCAGCAGATTACATTATCCTAAATTATTCCTTAATAATTGCAAAACCAATAATTTAAAATAAAGCAGTTATTCCAATCTTAGTAACAAACTTACATTAGAGCAGTGTCAGAACAATACAAGATTTTGTAGATAACTAAGCATGTTATGAAATTTAGAGTGCAGTCTCAACATAATATAAAATATGTTGAATATAATATAAATAAACAAAATGCAAAATAGAACTCCAAACCTTATGTCTTCCATTTAGAACTTCGAACCCTTATACCTCCCATTCAAAATTCCAAGTCTAAATATTTTGAACATATTCAAAAATTTAGCAACATAACTCCAAAGATATATAGAATATAATTTTAGAGAGAACTCCAACTCATCAAATATTAATAGAATATTATACATAAATGCACAATTATATCAAACATGTTTAGGGGTGTAAACGAGTAGAGTCAAGTCAAGTTTTACCACTATCAAGCTCAGCTCGTCAGTCGGAAAGCTTGCTCAAGCTTGAGCTCAAGTTGAGATTGTCCCACTGTAAATGGGCTCCAGCAGGCTCGCGAGCTTTGCGATTGTCCGTGTCAGAGCGAGTTGTTCACCTTAGTTTCCAAGCGAGTCATCTGCATACGCCTCTGTTCGTGTTGTCCGCCTCCTCCACATTTTCCTGCCCGCGATTTTTTGCTCGCGTTTTCTCGCTCGCTATTCGCCACCCTCGAAATTTCCTGCCACTAAACTTCTGCCTGCAATTTCCCACCCACGAAACTCAACCTTTGTTCGCAAGCTCGTCGAGCGGTGTGTTGTTCGAACTCGAGTTCGATAAGTCGTCGAGCTTAAAATCCTATTCAAGCTCGACTCTCGAGCTTGACTCAACTTGTCCAGCCCGAGCCGACTCGCGAGTCAGCTTGACTTGGTTACACCCCTAGACAAATCATATAATAATACCTTTAAGCATTTACATAATTTGAAACTATTTACATTTCAGAAATTTGCTCTACGAGCTACATTTTAGCAGTCATACCTATACTAGTGTTATTAAAATTTACTACTTCATAATTCTACCAAATTATCAGAGATTATGCATAAATGTATTTCAGAACTTTAATTATTCTTTAGTGATTTATTTTTGCCTAAATATTTTCCTATAATTTTAGAAAAGTTGTGTTCCAAAAATACCTAGCAAAAATTTTACACAAAAATATCTAAATGCCTATAATTACATTCTCTACAACATATTAAAAGTTATCTAGTGAAAGTTTCATCGTTTAAAAGTTATCTCAGTTTGAATATCATAAATTAGAAAACAGACTAAAGTAGCCTAAAATCTAAATTTCCTTCTCTCTCTCACTCTAGCTAACCAGCTGCTTCAATTAGATGAAATGAGTGGATTTAGTGAAAAAATGATATTTTTAATACTAAAATTTAACTAAGCATCGTGGCGCTCAATCACGCTTGTTGCAACGTTCCCTTTGGGAGCCCACAACACCACTGTGCCACCCCAACGCCATAATACTTAATTAAACGGTCAAACTCTAGAGAGTTCGGCACTGCGGTGCTGCCTACATCGGGGTTGTGGCAACCTAGCAAATAAAATTTAGATTTCACAAACATGCACACATACCCCCGAGATCCACTTCAAAGAAGTTTTGGACATTCACATGCATACAAAAATATTTTTAGTCACATGCAAGAGAGTTCAAAGATAAGAATCAATAAATTAACTCTTCAAATCATATCAAAACAGGCACAACTGAATCTGAATTCAATAGGTGTTACAATTCTCCTCTCCCCAGAAATTATTATTCTTGACATTTCAGAATTCATATCAATAGATCAGATTTGGATACACAATCTCATCTCAAATTCCTTCTCCTAAATAACTTCTCTATCCACCATGTGCTTCCACTGCCCTTTGACCAATGTAATTTTTCCATTCCTTAATTTTCTAACATTATACATGATACACCATAATTTTTTTTTGTTCTTTCATGTAACTTAGACTTATATGTATCTCAATATCATCTACGTATAATTTACTAACAGAATTAGACATCCACTTCCTCAGAGAAGACAGATGATATACATTATGCATATCAAACATGTGATCAATCAACAATAACATGTAAGCAGAATTATCAATTCTCTCAATAACCTAAAAAGGTCCAATGTTCCTTGGACTCAGCTTACTGATTCTTTCAAATCTACTGATATCCTTCATCAGACCAATCTTAACATGCACAATTATTAATAAAAAACTCTATAAATTGATTCTTTGAATCATAATACTTTATTGCATGTCTTACACAGTTGTTAATCTACCTCTAATGAGACAAATTTTTGTTTTAGCATCATTTACCGATGCTGATCATAATAATAGTCTTCTAAGATTGTCCATCTTTCTATGAATGAAAAGTTATATTGAAGTGTAATACTGTACCCAGACTATAATAAACTAAAAAAATATGAAATATGTTAAAATTTTTGAAACTAAATTGAACTATAGCGCTTCGACACAGTGTTGGTGAGCACAGTGGCACTAGAAACTGTCACTAAGACATTTGAGTATCTGTTCTACAGTAACTTTGAATTTTACATGCAGCGTTGCGGCGTTAGGCAACTAACAATATATTTTTATATTTTTTCTTATAAGTATCTCTGCACTGCACCCTTACCCCCTCACTCGCTTGCTTTGCTGGGAAGAAACAAGAGAAGAAGAGGGAGAAAAAGGAGAGGAAGAAGAGGGAAGGAGAAGAGATTGGCGCAGCATAGCACCTTTTCACAACATCACAATGCTATCTATTTGGCACCTTGTCTAACATAGAGGACAACACCACAACACTACCATTTTAGTGTCGCAACGCTCTCAAGGAGAATTTTGCACTTATCATTCTCTTTTCCAATTCAAACTAAAATTCCATTTCATGATTAAAAATGATTCTAAGCATTTACATAATTTTAAATAAATGCTAAATGAACTTGAAATTCTTATTAAGTCCAATTTAGGTAAGCTTTTATAAGTCGTTACACGCACACTATAAGTGACATGATATATTTTTAAATACATATTACTTCAGTGTAGCATTTCGTGTAATGCCTGAAATCTTATAAACAACGGTCATAAGGCCATTTTGAAGAAGAGGAGATAGAGAAATAAAGATAACTTTATGTACTCAAGTTTATTATAGTAAACTCATAGATTTTCTCTCTCTAGAT